GAGGAGGAGGGGGCAGGGCTCGTTTCGACTCCTCCGACTCGGTTCGGTTCGATTTCAATCGATTCCGATTTCGGTACGGTTCGACTTCGGATTTTGTTTTGGGCTCCGCCTTCTCAATAGAGGCCTTGCTAGCATGTTGATTTCCGCCGATTCGATTCCTCCTGATCTTGCTGCCGATTCCTGCCGATCCGATTCACTTCGACTGCCGATCCGACTTATCGATTGGATTAGATGCTCTCCTGGGAGGTGTTGGGAGCGCCGGGGGAGGGATCACTAGGGGGGATATCATGGACGGAGCCGTGATATCTCCGCGGATTTCATGGTCCTTCTTGTCTCAATGCGTCCGTTGCCCCCCACCCCTGAGCCTCCCCTCTTGGACGCCCCCGAGCATGATGGTCGAGGATCAAGTCGGGCCTGTCCCTCTACAGGAGGAAAATTCAAAAATAGTCAAAACATATTGTTGGGAAGATTTTTCAACTATTTTTGATCATTTGTGAACACTTTTTCCCACACCCGCCGCGCGGGATCTCTACTCCTCCTCTCCCCCTCGCTCTCTCTCTCTCTCTCTCTCCTCCCTTCGCACACTCACTCAATCACTCACCCACTCACACTCACTCACAGTTCCATCATTATCTTTCACTCACGCACTCACCCACTCACTCACCCACATACCTGCCCACTCACTCACTCATTCGCACTCTCATCATCATCATCATCATCATCATCATCATCATCATCATCATCATCATCATCATCATCATCATCATCATCATTACCATCATCATCATCATCATCATCATCATCATCGTCGTCGTCATCATCATCACCATCGTCATCATCATCATCATCACCATCGTCATCACCATCATCACCATCGTCATTATCATCATCTTCACTCACTCACTCACTCACTCACTCACTCACTCACTCATTCACTCACACACTCATCTCAGTTGGGAGCTTCGTCTGTGAATTAATTTCGAGGAAGTCTCAGGCGGGAGCCCCCTCCTCATGGGGCTCGCAGCTCATGTTGCTAATGCGAGCGGGTCATCGGAGTCCTATACCTGTCGTCACTTCTGGCGTCCTCAAGCTTGAATATGGGGGAGGTATCAGGCGGGAGCGTCGTCTGTGAGTGAACTGCGAGGAAGTCTCAGGCGCAAGCCCCGTCCCTATGGGGCCCGCAGGTAGTGTTATTCATCCGAGCGGATCATCGGAACATTGTAACCGTCACTTTTGGCCTCTTCAAGCTTGAGTATGGCTGAAGTCTCAGGCGGGAGCCTCGTCTGTGACGAATTGCGAGGAAGTCTCAGGCGGGAGCCCCCTCCCTATGGGGCTCGCAGGTCATGTTAGTAATCCGAGCGGGTCATCGTAATCTTGTAGCCGTCGTCACGTTTGGGCTCCTGAGGCCTGAATATGGCGGAAGTATGAGGCGGGAGGCTCGTTTGTGAGTGAATTGCGAGGAACTCTCAGGCGGAAACCCCGTCCGTATGGGGCCCGCAGTTCATATTATCAATCCGAGTGGGTCAACGGAATCCTATATCAATCGTCAATTTTAGGTTTTTCCAGCTTTTAATGTGGCGGAAATCTCAGGCGGGAGCCTCGTCTATGAGTGAATCGCGGGCAGTCTCAGGCGGGAGCTCCTTCCCTATGGGGCCCGCAGATCATGTTATTAATCCGAGCGGGCCATCGGGATCGCGTACTGGTTGTCATTGTTGGCTTTGTCAAGCTTGAGTGTGGCGGACGTCTCAGGCGGGAACCTCCTCCGTGTGGGGTCCGAAGATCATGTTACTAATCAAGGTGGGTCACCGGAATCTTGCAACTGTTGCCACACTTGGGCTCCTGAGGCCTGAATATGGAGGTGGTATCTGGCGGGAGCGTCGTCTGTGAGTGAACTGCGAGAAAGTCTCAGGCGGGCGCCTCCTCCCTATGGTACCCGCAGATCATGTTATTAATCAAGGTGGGTCATCGGAATCTTGTAACCGTCGTCACTTTTTGGGTTTTGCGGACTGAAGATGGAGGAGGTATCAGATGGGAGCCTCGTCTGTGAGAGTGAATTGCGAGGACGTCTCAGGCGGGAACCTCCTCCATGTGGTGCCCGCAGATCATGTTATTAATCCGAGCGGGTCATCGGAACATTGTAACCGTCGTCATTGGTTGGCCTCTTCAAGCTTGAGTATGGCTGAAGTCTCAGGCAGGAGCCTCGTCTGTGAGTGAATTGCGAGGAAGTCTCAGGCGCGAGCTCCCTCCCGATGGGGCTCGCATGCCATGTTAGTAATCCGAGCGGGTCATCGGAATCTTGTAGCCTCTTCACTTTTGGGCTCCTGAGCCCTGAGTATGGCGGAAGTATGAGGCGGGGGCCTCTTTTGTGAGTAAATTGCGAGGCGGATCAACACGCCACGCGCTCGTCGCGACTTGCGGCGTCTGGGCGTGCTCCTCGTTTTCTTGCAGGCCGTGGACGAGTGCAACACGATTATCCCGACGCGGGTCGGCGCCTCCTGAACGTCCCGAACATGCAGAAGACCAGGGACATCCACGACGTCTTACCGGCCCACGTCGGCATGGAGGTGCGATTCACTGCAGTGCAGGAAGAGTTGAAGAAGAAGTTGGGATTCGTGCAGGAGCACGGGGCCACCGTCGTGTCCTTCGAGTTCCACCCCGAGGACGAGCAGCGGCACGAGGAGCGCACGCCAGGCCAGCTCTTTCGTCCCCGCTTCCTACCGCAGGGGGTCCTGGCTGCAGGGGCGCGGCCTCAAGGAGTCTCCGATATTCCAGGAAGTCGCCGAGCTGTTGCGACGGCGCCGCAGGCGCCGACGACGACGGCGAGGCCGAGGCGCGGTCGCGGAGCTTGCTGATGTTCAGGCCCAGCGAGCAGGATTTCACGTGGCAGAGATCGGGGCTGCACGCCGCGCGCCGCGCGGGGTTCACCGTGGCGCATGCGTCCTACCTCACCTCCACGCTGTCGCAGGTCCAGGCGCTGCGGAAGGGCGTCGCCGTCGATAGCGCGAGGGGCGAGAACGCTGGCCGCGCGGGCATGTCGGACGACCAGTGGTGGCTGCTCCCGCGCCGCGTGCTTGCGGAAAAAACTGATCCCGCGGCCGCCCTCGCGCGAGTTTCTGGGGCGAGGGCCGCCAGCGTCCTTGCGGAAGGCACTCGAGAAGTTCGACGAGATAGCGAAGAGCTCCGGGGCAGAGGCGGAGCAGCTCGCGGCAGAGCTAGGCCCAGTGCTGCCTCTCGCCTGAGCGCGGCTGCGGCCCGCTCGAAGCCCGCGGGGTTGTCCCAACGGCTTGGTCTCGCGCGTCAATGGTTCGCGGGGTTGCCCCGGCGACCAGGCCCGCGAGGTTGCCCCAGCGGCTGCGCTATGCGGCCATTCGAGAATGCGCCCGCGCTGGCCGAGGCCGCGGCGGCGCCGAGGAAAACCGACGCGCGCGCTCCTGCGAGGAGGAAGGATAGGTGCTTGAGGATAACGGGCGGGACGGATATGAGGAGGGGGACAAGGAAGGGAGGTGAAGGAGGAGAAAGAATAGAACGAAGAGGAGGAATAATACGAGGAGGATGGGGGAGGGAGAGGAGGAAGCGGAGGACGAGGAGGAAGAGGGGGAGAAGGAGGAGGCGGAAGAGCAAGAGGATAAGACATGCAACGGGTAGGACGATAGTGAACAGGAGGAGGCCA